AAGTGATCTTCAATTTCAGCAAGAAATCTTGTGTCATCTGCATATCGCAGGTTGTTCATAAGTCTTCATCCAATCATGATGCTGCATTCTTCTTCACATAGTCCAGCTTCTCAGATTATTTGCTCAGCATATAGATTGAATAGTTATGGTGAAAGGATACAGCCCTTATTTTTTTTTATGTATCAGATACAATTTTTTTATGTGTAGGATCTGATCTTATACATAAAAAAATCTTATACTCAGTAAGAAAATATGTGAACTAACTGAAATTTCAGCAAAGTGGCTGAGTATAAATCAACATATAAAAATCAGTTGGATTATTTTACACTAATGGAGACAACTCTGAAAAGGAAATCAAGAAAGCAATATCATTTATAATGACCAGCTAAAAGATGAAGTAATTAGGAATAAATCTAACCAGGGACACAAAAGACCTATACAAAGAAAACTATAAAACAAAAGAGAAACCAAATGAGACCTACATAAATGGAAGACATGCTCATAGATAGGAATACTTAACATCATGAAAATGTCAGTACTACTGAAAGCAATCTATAGACATAATGCAATCCCAACTGGTTTCCATCATCTTTCTTTAAAGAGGTGGAAAAACTAATTATCAGCTTTATATGGAAAGGAAAGAGACCTTGGATAAATAAAGCTACTAAAGGAGAACAAAGTAGGGGACCTAACATTCCCTGATCTCAAAACCTACTACATATCTGTGGTAGTTAAAACAACCTAGTACTGGTACAACAACAGACACATAGGCCCTGGGATAGAATTGAGGACCCAGAAGTAAATTCATCTACCTATGGACAGCTGACTTTTGACAAAAGGCCAAAACTTACTACATAAGTTTATTAAAGAGATAGTCTCTTCAATAAATGGTTCTGGGGAAACTGGCTATCCATTTGCAGAAAATGAAACAGAATTAATATCTCATACCATATACAAAAGTGAACTGAAGTTGGATCAAAAATCTGAACATAAAACCTAAAACCATAATGACCATAAAAGAAAAAAATAGTGACAAACTTAGGGGCTCTAATTCATAACATAAATACATTATACATAACTAAAAATACACAAATACCAGAAAACAAAAGAGATGGCTGGGTCTTCCTAAAATTTAGACACTTATTCACATCAACAGATTTCAACAAAAGAATAAAAAGTTAATCCATGGACTGGGAAAAATTTTTGGCAACAACATGTTGGACAAGGGGCTAATCTGCAAAATTTTATAGAAAACATTAACACCTTAACAACAACAACAACAAGAACCCAATTGAAAAATGGACAGAGGACAGACATTTCACAAAAGATGACATTCAGGCAGCTAACAAACACATGAAGAAATGCTAGCAATCATTAGCCATTAGAGAGATACAAATCAATACAACAATGAGATATCTCACTCCAGCACTAATAGCAAGTTTGAAAAAAAACTAATAGAAAGTTTGAAAACACAAATGCTGGCAAGGGTATGGATAGACTTACACTCAGCTCACTGCCACTGAGTCGGATGTGACTCATAGCGACCCCTCCTTGGGTTTCTGAGGCAGTATCATTATGGAAGTAGATTGCCCAATCTTCCTTCTGAGGAGTGGCTTGTGGGTCTGAACAGCCAGCCTTCTGGGTAGCAGTCAAATGCCTTAGGCACTACACCACCAGAGCTCCTATGGAGAGACTAGAACCCTCATAAACTATTCGTGGGAGTGTAAAATGTTGTGACTACTGTGGAAAATGGTATGGTACTTCCTGAAAAAGCTGGAACCAGAATTCCAAATGATCAGCAATCCCATTAGCAGGCATACATCCTAGAGAAATAAGAGCAGTACCATGAACAGATGTACACTGACCATATTCATCACAGCATATTCACAACTGTAAAAAGATGGAGACAACCTAAATGCCCATCAACAGAGAACTGGATCAACAAACTATGATACCTACACACAATGGGATACTATGCAATGTTAAAGAACAATGATGAATCTGTGAAACATCTCATAACATGGATGAGCATAAAAGACATTATGCTGAGTGAAGTTAGTCAATCACAAAAGGACAAATATTACTTATATAAAACCACTATTGTAAAAAGTCAATAAAAGAGTTTCACAGAAAAAAGACATATTCATTGACGGTTACCAGAGGTGAGTAGGGAAGGGGGGAAACAGCTAACTAGAGGGTTTATAGGGGGAAAAAAAGATGATAGCATGTTGGGAGCAAAGAGAAAGTAGCTCAAAATAGGAGAGGTGATATTTACTAATACAGTCAATAAAGTAGAAAAGAAATCTTACTTAAAAAATTAATTGAACAAATACAGAAATGAGGAAATGAACATATATGAGGACTAATATCTTTGTGCTGAAATTAAGTTTTGGGCACTGGGTTTAAAGCTAGGAAGATCAAGTATCATGTCTATATCTGTGTTTGAGTCTTTCCTGCATTTGGCCATAATAATTCAAGTTCAAGGACTGCTTCTTTGGAAATATATGCAGTACACAATGGTATTAATAACTTCAAGGCTTAGTTTGTTCATTCTGGAAAATAAGGCCATATAATTAGGCAAAACTCTACCAGCAAACGATGCTCAAATGCTAAGTTTAGTAAGATGGCTTTTGATAATTTGGTTGCCTCAAAGATAAGAGCAGCATTGTGACATTAAAGAAATATATATTAAATTTGTTTAAATCTTATTTAAAATTGAGAATAGAAAAATTATGTATTTAATATTTGTTATTAAACTTTCCTTCTAATTAACTATTACCTCTTGGGTCATATAAAGAGGATTTTCTTCATATATCTTCTTGCAATGTGACTAATGCATTCATTGTGATGAACAAGGCTGTACTTTTTTGACAGCTTCTTCTATAGTAGACCTTGTGATGATTGATTCTCTCTACTTTTTTCTATTTTCCTAACCTGAAACCCACATTCATAGGGTGCTCCAGGACTTAATCTGCTAGTCACTGGGTGCATTTGTAAATTGTAAACAAAAATGCAAATGTAGACCTGAAAGCAAGTGGCAAGTTTTGGTTACTAAATGGTTATCCAAATGATTCATGTTGTATTTTTGTTACGTGCCATTGAATCAGTTTTGACTCATACCAAAAACCAAACTCACTACCATTGAGTAATTTGACTCACAGTGACCCCTCCTTGGGTTTCCAAGGTGGTATCCCTATGGAGGGGGAGTTCTTGTAGCGTAGTGCCTAAGGCACTTGACTGCTAACCAGAAGGCTGGCGGTTCAAACCAACCAGTCACTCCTTGGAAGGAAGGTTGGGCAATCTCCTTCCATAGTGATACTGCCTCAGAAACCCCAGGAGGAAGGGGTTGCTATGAGTTGGGTCCAACTCAATGGCACATAACAACAACAACCTCTCTATGGAAGTAGATTGCCCAATCTTCCTTCTGAGGAGTGGCTTGTGGGTTTGAACTGCCAACCATATGGTTAGTAGTCAGATGCTTAGGCACTATGCCACCAGAGCTTCCTTAATGAGCCTATAAAATAGATTAGAACTGCCTTATAATATTCTAAGCTGTAATATTTATGAGAGGATATCACTGCATCTTTCTCCCATGGAGCCTCTAGGACGGTTCAAACCAACAACCTTCTGGTTAGCAGCCAAGCTCTTGACCGTTGTACCACCAAAAATGAAGACATTTTCTCATTAAAAAATATGCAGATTCCTGATTATGAGAAGTGCTGGCCTGTATGAATAGCCTACAAAATGTTCTGAATATTTTGGTACCGTATCAATTTTGAATACTCAGTCCCATGGTCAAATCACATGTCAGGTCAAGAGTCTTAAAATTTGCCCTGTGTTTTGGTTACCTAGTGCCACTCTGACAAGAACATACCACAAATGGGATGGCTTTAACAAACAGGAGTTTATTCTTACAATTTGGAGGCTTTAAGTCCAAGTTCAAAGTGCTAGGCTGTAGGGGCTGGATGAAAGCCCCTCAACCTTGGGTTGGAGCTCTGCCTCCTGTTCCCAGCCCACTGAAGCTGGAGGCTATTCTTCACTCAGCTGCTGGCTGCTGAGGCTGACAAATCCAAGATCAACAAGTAACAAGGCACAATTCCGATATTACCAAACCACACAGCAGGCCATTGATTCAAGTCCTTTGAAAGTCCCAGGATCAGCAGAGCATGGCAGGGTACTGAACAATGACATGGCTACATGCAAGGTTCAAGTGTGTCATAAGCTAGAGACCATTCCCCAAGGCTTCTCCTTATATACAGGAAGCAGATCACATTCTCTATAATAGCTACGCAGCTGCTCACAGTAGATTCCACCATGGAGTTGCTTACCAATCTCATCATGAGTGTTACATTCAGCTGCCCAGCCACTCAACCAGGCCCTGCCAAATTGAGACACAAACTTAACTACCACAGCCTGGCACTCAATATTCATTTCTTTTTTGAGTTTCTATGGTCATCTGCACATATTGTCTGTTTGGAAGGTAGGAAAAGAAGAGCTGGTTGAATATTACCAGGAACTGCCTATGCTCAGGGCCCCTATTTCACCTTCCTTTGGCCCTTATCTTTTTCAAACTCTAGTGGATTTCAGTCCTATCAGATCCAAATTTATTGCCTAAATTTTGAAAATTTCTTTGCTATCTTGATAAGAAATCCATAGATTTTAAACTTGCCTGGCAGAGATGGAGTTATGGCCACTGAAAGTTATGCTCCAATACCACTCACTTGTGTAGAGCCCTCCAAGGCCTTGAGAGACATCATACAGTTTTGTAAAATTTATGAAAGTGATATATTTTAACCACATTTGGATAAAACCACAGTCTTTTTCCATTGAGACTTCCCCTCTGACTCACTTCCTTTTCTATTGATGACCTGACAATACTTGAAGGCAGTTTTGGGGATCCAACTAAAGAGAATTTGAGCCCTGGTTTAATGTCATAATTGGATGAGGCTCACAGTCACGTCCATATTCAGGAAGGTATTTCAAACCATCCTGGTGTAGGAATGACTTTCAGGAAAACACCACCAACAGCTGAATCAACTCTGCTAGCTTCAGAACACAAGGTAGAAAGTAAAAGATCATACTGCAGCATGATAAATCCTACACTAGAAATTTGTGGGAAATGTAAGAAAACTAGGATTGCAATATTTGGGGTAGAAACCAGTCTTGTGGAAATATGGGGTTCAATTAAGAAATCTAACATGAGAATTATTGAAATCCCAGAGCATCATGTCAATAATAAAGGCCCCAAAACATTTTTCCAAGAGATAATCAGAGTATTTCCTAGACCTGAGCCATGCCTGCAAATACAGGAAGCTACATGAACTACAATCAGAAGAGACACTAAAAGATCAACCTGCATCATATCTGTGGTGGTTACTTTTGTGTGTCAACGTGGCTGGGCCTGGTGGAGTGGCTGGGCAGCTGGTGGTAGTTACTCCCTATGAGACTGGCAATCAACTCCATGGTGGGACCTACCACACGCAGCTGAGTAGCTGCTTTAGGGACGTGGTCTGCTCCTGTATATAAGAAACAGCTTTGGGAATGGTTTCTAGCTTATGGCATGCTTGGACCCTGCATGTAGCCGTGTCATTGTTTAGCACCCTGCCATGCTTTGCTGACCTTGGGACTTTGAATGGACTTGAATTAATGGCCTGCTATGTGGTTTAGTAAATCAGGACTGTGCCATTTTATTTGTTGACCTTGGGCTTCTTATCCTCAGCAGCAAGTAGCTGCCTGAGTGGAGAGATGCCTCCAGCTTCAGTGGGTCAAGAGCAGGAGGCAGAGCTCCAAGCCAAGTTTGAGGGGCTTTCACCCAGCCCCTAGAGCCTGGCACTTGGAACTTGGACTTCTAACTTCCCGAAATGTAAGAGAATAAACTCCTGTTTGTTCAAGCCATGCCATTTGTGGTATATTCTTATCAGAGCGGCACTAGTTAACCAGAACAATATCCTAATAAAATTTGAAAACCAAAAACAAGGAGAAAATTCTGAAAGCAGTAAGAGAAAAACACAACATAATATACCAAATGTCTCTCACAAGAATCAGTGAAGATTTCTCTCCAGAAACTCTAGAGGCCAAAAGACAATGGAGCAACATATATAAAATAATGAGTGAAAACAATTGCCAGCCAAGAGTTCTTTACCCAGCAAACTTGTCATTCAAAAATGAGAGAGGAATCAAGACATTTCAAAACAAATAGAACCTCTGGGAATTTGCCATTACTAGACCAGCTTTGCAAGTATTACTCAAGGGAGTACTCCAATGGAAAGGCAAGAGTATTAAATAAACACTCATATCTATCTGTTCAGGGGGAAAAATATAATAAGGGAGAAAGACAGATCTCCAAAAAGCACAACAACATGGGCAATTATAAGGACCAAGTATATGATATTTTCAGGGAATAAACTCAATGATTAAATCCTGCGAACAATACAACATCAAGTTTGTAAGAAACACAAAGCAAACTTATAGAATTATAGGTCGTATATCAATGTTAACAGAGACACATTGTGGTGTTGATGAAGACTACTAAAAATACCATGGTTTGTCAGAAGAATGAGAAATCTGTCCTGGGAAAAGTGTAGCAGGAATGCCCCTTAGAAGCAGGAATGGCCAGAGTCTCACTTACTTTGGTCATGTTGTCAGAAGGGACCATTCCCTGGAGAAGAATATCATGCTTGGTAAAGTAGAGATTCTGTGAAAAAGGGGAAACCCTCAGTGAGATGGTTTGACACAGTGGCTGTAATGATGGTGCAAAAAAGACAGGGAGACCACATGTTCTGACCTCCTCTAACCCCACAAGAGGAAGACAGTGTCACTATCAATAACCCAAGGCCTATTCCTGTGAGGTCACACATGCTGCCTCCCTCCAGCCCTTTCACCAACCGTTCCTCCCAAAGCACCCACCACCTCTCTCCTGGGTTCGATAATTCACTGCAGTGGCCACACAGAACTCACAGATTATAGGATTTATTAGGGAAGCACCAGGCTACAAATTAAATTCAGGAAAAACACTCACTCTCTCTCCCAGTCCACAGTCTCTCTCCTAACAGTCTCTCACAGCTCTCCCAACAGTGAGTGTCCCTTGGTGTCTCACTCAGCAATGCGTGTCTCTTGCATCTCTTTCCCAGTAGTCCATGTCCCTTTCAGAAGTGTGTGTCTCTTTCAGCAGCACGTCTTCCTCAACCAGGAGTTAGAGAAAGAGTTCTGCCTCTAGGAGGCCTCCTTTTGAGCCTGGCAGAGTGGCCAAACTAACCAGTCATAGCATAAGAATTCTAAGCCCCTGAGAGAGAGTAAACTTCCCAGAATGTTGCTTTGTGTGCCACTCCCAACAGAAATACCCCAGGTGGATAACTTTTACAATCAAGAACTCCTCAGTTGCTCACAGCAAATTCCACCATGGAGTTTACAAAAACTTAGGGCTAGAAAAGCCATACCAGGTAATTTACTACACTGCAGATTGGCTCAACTATAGCAGGGATTGTGAGGATGGTGCAGGACTGGGCAGTGTTTCATTCTGTTGTACATAGGGTCACTCTGAATTGGAGCCAACTTGATGGCACTTAACAACAACAACAAGGACATTGAGAACTTAAATAAAACCAGAAGCCAATTGAACCTAACAGACACATATAGAACACTCCATCCAGCATCAGAAAAATGCACGTTCTTCTGTAGTGAACATGGAACATTCTCCAGAATAGCGCATAGGACATAAAACAAGTCTCAACAATTTTTTAAAGATTGTAAACATACAAAGCATTTTTTTTTAACCATAGGATATGAAGCTAGAAATAAACAACATGATAAATAAAGAAAAAGAAATAAATACATGGAAACTAAATAATACACTCTTAAAAAACTGTTAGATCATAGAAGATATCAAGAGTGAAATGAAAAACTGACCAGAATAAAACCAAAATGAAAACACAACATATCAAAATCTTTGGGGCACAACAAAAGTAGTACAGATGAGGAAGTTTCTAGCAATAAATGTCTACATTAAAAAAGAGATCCAACATAATTAACTTAAATCAAAAACTTGAACAAATAGAAAAGGTAAAGCAAATGAAGCCAACAGTTACCAGAAAAAAGGAAATAATAAAGATCACGGCTGAAATAAACAGAAAAACAATAGAAAGAATCAACAAAACCAGAAGCCAGTTCTTTGGAAGGATTAATAAAATAGTCAAACCACTGGCTGTATTGATAAAACAAACAAACAAACAAACAAAACTAGAAGAAGCAAATAACAGAGCAAAGAATTGAAATTGGTGACATTACAAATGATTCAACAGAGACAAAGATTTTAACTGATTTCCATGAAAAATTATATTCTAACAAATTTGAAAACCTGGATTGAATGCACAAATTCCTAGAAACCTACTACCTACCCAAACTAATGCGAACAGAAGTAGAAAATTTAAAGGGACCCTTTAGAAAGAAGAGATTGAAGATATCATCAAAAAACTGGCAACAACAACAACAACAACAAAATAGCCTAAGACCAGAATTCTATCAAACATTCAGAGAAGAGTTGGCACTGAGCCTACTCAATTTCTTCAAAAACGTAGAAGAGGAAGGAATATAACCAAACTCTTTCTATGAAACCAGCATAACCTTGATATCTAAACCAGCAAAGACTTTACAAAAAAAGAACAGATCGATATCCCTTATGAACATAGATGCAAAACTTTTCAACAAAATTCTAGCCAACAGACTTTAGCAACATATCGAAAAATCATGCACCATGATCAAGATGGATTCATACCAGGATTACAAAGGTGGTTAAACATTAGAGAATCAATCAATGTAACTCACCATATAAATAAAACAAAAGAATCATGTGATTATATCAATTGATTCAGAAAAGGCATTCAATAAAATCCAATGCCCTTTCCTTACAAAGACTCTTAGAGAAATAGAAGGGAACTTTCTCAACATAATTAGCAAGATAATTGCAAAACAGTCAATATTACAGTCAACAGAGAAAGGCTGAAAGCTTTCCCTTTGAGAAGAAGAATGAGACAAGGATGTCCATTTTCACCACTCTCATTCAACTTCATACTGAAAGTCCTAGCCTGAGCAATAAGACAAGAAAGAAAAATAAAAGGTATCTAAATCACAAAGGAAGAAGTAAAACTAGTTCTATTTGCAGACGGAAATGATCCTATACCTAGAAGACCATAGAAGAATAGAAAAATTTAGCAACATTGCAGGGTACAAGGACAACACACAAAAATCAGTTGAGCTCCTCTACTAACAGAGACTAATCCAAAAAAGAAATCAAGAAAACGGTACCATTTACAATGAGCCCCAAATAGATAAAATACCCAGGCATTAACCTAACAAGGGACACAAAGGAGTTACAGAATGAAACTTATAAAACAGCAAGAGGCTAAGAGAGCCATCTGTAAGACATGTGTGTGCTAAAAATTGGGAGACTTAATATAGTGAAAATGTCAGTTTTACCTAAAGTGATCTACAGATGCAAAGCAATCCCAATACAAATCCCAACATTCTTTACTGAAATAGAAAAACTAATGATCAACTAACTTCATACAGAAAGGAAAGAAACTCTAAATAGCCATTCTTGAGTGGCGCCTGCATATTTTGCAGAACCATCTGTAAACTAAGCATGACTGAGTTTTCTCTTCCTCAGTCAACTGATGATAAGTAACTCTCCAAAAAGCCATAGTTGTAGACTGAAAGAGGGAAAGTAATGTGAATGAGTGGACCATAGGCATTTTGGCCACTTCTTCATGAAACTTTCTTGTGCCTATAGGTCCTGCTCAAGCCTAATCTCTTTTGTATGGTTTCCATTTAATGATGCAGTGTTGTACACATCCAACTTTATGACTCTGTGAATCAGACAACACCCAGTTCATGATGGGCAGTTCAGGCCACATGGTGACTTGGTGGCCCATAGTTGGGTGTTCAGACTCTACTAAGGCCCATTAACAAGTCAAAAGCTGTTTCTCAAAAGGAGAGTAATTTTCTGCAGAGGATGACAGGGTTTTGCTCCAAAATCCTAAGGGCCATTTCTGTGATTCACCAATAGAGGTCTGCCAAAGACTCAAAACAACATCTCTGTCTTCCATGACACTACAGGCACCATTGGA